AAGATGTATTTTAGTCATTTCTGGTTTAAATTGAGGTCCCTTCCCTTTATAATTCACTTATCCTCCGCCATTCCCAAGTCAAGGCTCGTATATACTGACCCAATAGCATATCTTGAAAACTAAAGCCAATCAACAATTTTAAGCATCATTTTCGTTCTCAGTGACCCAGAATTAGTAAAGTTTGACTACATTTATTTCAGAAGCATTTTGGCTGTAGAGCAGTGTTACATATACAGTACCCATAGCTTGAAATTAAACTCTCAGCCATGGTCAAACACAGACAACATGCACAATTTTTTAGATAATGTATGTGTCGACAATGTGACAGTGGTTTATAAGCTATTTTAAAATGTTCCTGGTTATTGGTGTCCTTAACGTAGGTTTCTGCATTTCACTAGTAGCCACTATACGTACATCCAAAACAGGCAATTGTTACAACAGTAGTGTACAAATAAATGCATATGAGAATGTACTCACTAGCTTGTTGATGGTGCACTTCATTCGGGAAAGCGCTGAATTCATAAGCAGACTGCTTGCTTTTCAATAAGAAGGTCAGAGTACTGTCAAGCTTCTCCACAGAAGAAAACTTGAAAGCCTGTTTAGAAGAAAGATAAGAGAAAAATTCAGATCACGTAGTGCTTATGTATTATTAACCATGTCCTTGTAATGGCAGTAAATCAAAGGATTTAAACAAAATAAATATAAACTCAGTCTTATTAAGGTTAGTTTATTTCTGAAAGACCACAAAGGAGAAGTAATCTGACATAAGACCAACAAGATAATTTGACCAAAATAAGGAAAAGTGGACATTCTGGCCCCAAGCCTTAGCTGTGACTAAACTCAGAAGGATGGGGGAAGGCCTTTAAGAAATCTTTGTGTTCCTCCTATTCTTGGCTCAGCAGTGCACTGGGCCAGTATCCTGACCTAATTTAGAGCAGCGTGGGGGTTATTCTAATGTATACCAGCCGCCAATAGACCCAAGAGGCCAATACTGCAGCTGGGGATTACAAGGCAGGAGGTTACCTAGGCTGACCCAAGTGAGGAGGATGGTATCATTACCTGGCTCTACACCAAATAGGCATCCCCCCTCAGATGGCTGGTTACACCAATTTTAGGTGGACTTTGCATCAGTGACACAGTGTAAAGCAGCTACACATATCTGAGGATCAGGGGTAACTGTGTGGAAAGTATTAGTGATCTTATGGCAAAACAATTTGACTGGCTCATTTATTAGCTACAGAAGACACTCATACTGCACTGAATCATGTCAGGAACCAAGTTAAGTTAGCTAATGTCCCAATCACTGCCCCACACTCAAAAGGGCTGAAGAAGCAACTGTGCCTCATGGCAGCCTGGCACAAAGTGGGAACTGTGCAGTCTGCTCTCCACCATGCAGCTAATACTTCTGTGGGCTCGGAAAACAGGTGGAACAGCAGGGCCCAGAGCTGTATTTCCTCCCTGCCACCTTTGAGGTGCTAAGGAGAGTAGTCTGACTGCAGAGAAATTTTGGCAAGCCCTAGAGCGGGCTGCACAAAAGTTCCTTGCCTGTTCTCTCCATCAACTCAAACCCCAGAAAATGGCTTGTCACTATTACTATCCTAAAATGATTTTTGAGAGAAAAGTTTGAAACAAAGAGGCTTACAGTATATTATATAATGTTTAACATAACAAAGGTTTTGAAGGGTGACATTTACACATTGAGCTATCACTTTGTAAGTTTATCAGGATATGTCTACCCTGCAGTTGGAGGTGTGATTGCAGCACCAGCTGGCATACCCACACTAGCTTTAATCTAGCTAGCATGGCTACAAGTAAAGATGTGGCAGTACAGGATTCAATGCAGGCTCGCAAGGTGAGTATGTAGCAAAAGTGCCCAGGATGCTTGTACAACCCAAAGCAAAGTCTGTGCGGCTACAGCTTCACTGCTATTTTTAGCATGCTAGCTAAATTAAAGCTAGTGCAGGTTATTCCAGCCTGTGCTGCAATAACATCTCTGACTGTAGTACAGATACACCCTCAGACTCATGGCAGCTGAGGAACCTTTTACGGAGGGAATATTTCTGAGCATGCCCTGCTGTACATAAAAATATGCACCAATAAAAGAAAACAAAAATTGAAAACACTGACTGCAGACCAGCCACACGGATATCCTCTTCAGAAGAAGCAAAACTAAAGTAGGAGCCAACTTTTTGCAGCTCCGAAAGGATCCTACAAAATACTGTACTTAGTCCAGAGAGATCTCCATGCTTTATCATGACAGCCATGCAGTGCCGCCATTTTGGGGGGTGGTGGGAGGTGAGAGGGGGTTCCTTGCAAAGTGACACCGATTTCTGTTTTAGAATGGAAAACCCACATACAATACCAGATAAAAAGAATTTAACTATATAACTATAAGGATATATTTTAATTTATAAGGTACTGCTTTGAATTATTACAAATTCATTCCTGTACATGGAAAATAAGGTAATCAATTAACTGTTCTGATAAGAATCAAAAGATGGAAGATACAACCAAAATATAGCAGAAAAGATTATTAATGTGCTGCAAAACCAACTGAGGGGAAAAAAATAAAGCAAGATAGCAACACTTCATTGAAGTCTATTGAGCCACACATGTTCATGTGTAGAATTTGTCCCTTTATATAACTTACTAGGATTGTACATTTAATAACTGTTTATTTTTAGAAAGATATTTTAAAAACTCATCCCATCATGCCCAGACCCACTATTTTAAGCTGCTTAGGATCTGTAACTACTTGCTGGGATAGCTCAGTGGTTTGAGCATTGGCCTGCTAAACCCAGGGTTGTGAGTTCAATCCTTGAGGGGGCCATTTAGGGATTTGAGAATTTAGTTGGGGATTGGTCCTGCTTTGAGCAGGGGGTTGGACTAGATGACCTCCTGAGGTCCCTTCCACCCCTGATATTCTATGATTTCTATGAAGGTAGGACTACTTTCAATAGTATGATGAGGCCAGTAGTACTACACTGCTATCAGAATATGTTTCCAAAGCCAACCTGACCAGCCTAACAAATGTAAAGGTCATCTTCCAGTGGCAATGATTCAATTTAGGGTCTCTCCCCTTACTCCCAATCCCTGCTACCACTTCGATTTATTGCAGCTCTTGGCCAGACACTTTTGCACAGAGACCTCTACCATGCATAGTGTACCAATTAGTTATGCCCCAGGATATGGCTTTTAGGGCTTACTACCATGTGAAATTCCATAGCACTATGGTCCTGATTCAAGAAAGTACTTGAGCATATATTTAACTTAAGTGTGTGCTTCAAGACTGATTGAAGTCAATGGAAGCTAAGCAAATACTTAAAGTTAAGGATGTGCTTAAGTATTTCTCGGAATAGGGATGTATACATGTTTTCCTGAATCACAGCCTGTGCTCAGGTGTTAATAGATTTGGACCCTTAATTTGTGCAGCCAATACTTATACAGTAGACTGGCATATTTCTCATTGACTTTGGCAGCTCTACAAAAGTCACATTTTCATACAGATGAACTATACTTGAATATCTTCTATGTATCAGACAATATATTCTATGTACCTGGATTTAAACAATTTCCACCCCACCATCAACCTCAGTCTGGACCAGTCCACACAAGAGATCCACTTCCTGGACCCTACAGTGCATATAAGTGATGGTCACATAAACACCACCCTATACCAGAAACCTGCTGAACGCTATATTTACCTACATGCCTCCAGCTTCCATCCATGACACATCACATGATCCATTGTCTACAGCCAAGCCCTAAGATACAACCGAATTTGCTCCAATCCCTCAGACAGAGACAAACACCTACAAGATCTTTATCAAGCATTCTTAAAACTACAATACCCACCTGGGAAGTGAGGAAACAGATTGACAGAGTGAGACGGGTACCCAGAAATCACCTACTACAGGACAGGCCCAACAAGGAAAATAACAGAACACCACTGGCCATTGTGACAGCGTACCCCATAAGGCTTTATGGGGGGGAGGTATTTATAAATGTATGTATGATATAACTGGAATATGTTTTGTGCTGCCTGTGCCATGTAACATATCTCCTATTTGTACATATATATCATTTTCTACTTGAGATTAAGAATATGGGCTGTATGCTTGCTTGGTTTCTAAGTAAGCTTTGTGAGGCATTTGGTCAGCTTCTTTAGGAAGGAATTCGCCAGGTTAAGTACCTGATCAGGAAACACTTGGGGAACAGCAACAGAGGGTCCTGTGGCACCTTTAATACTAACAGTCTTAAAGGTGCCACAGGACCCTCTGTTGCTTTTTACAGATTCAGACTAACACGGCTACCCCTCTGATACTTGGGGAACAATGCATCTTGGAATGCTCCAATCCACATAAGAAGTCTTCCTGGAGACATGCAAGATACCATGTGGACAATGGCTTCGGCTTGTAAAGACTGAGTCATGCAGGGGCATGTGACTTGCCCAGGTGACTCCAGAACTCCATCTTGGAACTGGACTTTGCATAGGAGGGAGGGGGGGTCTCCACCCACAAGAGAGAGTCTACTTAAACCTGTGGGAGACCCCTCCATTTTGGTCTTCAGCTGGCTAAGGAAGGAGCCTCTCCACCCCCCCAGGATACTTGAAGGGAACTGGAACAAACAACAGTAACTACAGGGGATGTGAGTGATTGCTGGACCCAGGCTAAAAGGAGATTAGCCTATAAAAGGGAGCATTCTGGAACCAGTGAGGGACTTATCTGTATTTAGTTTGATTAGACATAGATTTGCACATTTTATTTTATTTTACTTGGTGACTTACTTTGTTCTCTCTGTTACTACTTGTAACCACTTAAATCCTACCGTCTGTATTTAATACAATCACTTTTTATTTAGTAATTTACTCAGAGTATGTATTAATACTTGGGGGAGCAAACAACTGTGCATATCTCTCTATCAGTGTTATAGAAGGTGAATAATTTATGAGTTTACTCTGCATAAGCTTTATGCAGGGTAAAATGGATTTATCTGGGTTTAGACCCCATTGGGAGTTGGGCATCTGAGTGCTAAAGACAAGCACACTTCTGTGAGCTGTTTTCAGGTAAACTTGCAGCTTTGGGGCAAGATATTCAGACCCTGGGTCTGCGTTGGAGCAGACGGGAGTGTCTGGCTCAGCAAGACAGGGTGCTGGATTCCTGAGCTGGCAGGGAAAACAGGAATAGAAGTAGTCTTGGTACATTAGGTGGCAGCTCCCAAGGGGGTTTCTGTGATCCAACCCATCACAGCCATCACGTACAGCCCCCAGCTAAAACCAGTCCAGTGCATTATCAATGATCTACAACCTTTCCTGGAAAACGATCCCTCACTCTCACAGACCTTGGGAGGCAGGCCAGTCCTCGCTTAC